TCAGGTATATGTTTCTAAACTGTGTCCAAGCAGCTAGCATAATGCCTGACATACAGTAGCACACAGTGTATGCTACACTTAAGAAATGTCAAGGCTAAACCGTCAAGGCTAAACCCACATATGCTATTTTTCACTGTAACTTGAAAATTGTCTGACATATTGCTTTAAAAACCCATAGACCAAAAATGATTAAATATGATTCCAAGTGAACTAAACACCTTTAAACATGGAAGGGGTAATATCTAAAGTTGAGTATACAATGGGAAAAAAAAATCATAAAATATCAAAATATCACTTTGGAATAAGAATCTGACTTATAAGACCCCACCAGGCACAAAATAAAATGAAAAAATAAAACTTTTCTAAGACTATGCTTTCGTATACGAGATAATCAAACTTAACCGTCAAAACCAGAAATAAAAAACAACAAATTTTCCAAAGTAAAATGACGTCAACATTTTACCAGTGTTTCTTCCAGGGAGGATATCTGTCTTTGTATATTTGCTTTATTCTTGACTATAGGTTAACTATTTGGTGATTAGACATTTCTAAATTTTAAAATTACCAGCCAATAGCCACATCAAATGAAGTTACTATGTCAACACAAAGAAGGCAACAAAGGCTTCTAACAGGTAGTCTTCATACATCTTATAACTTCAATGTTCCACTGGAGGCACATGATCAGAAATTTGGCAGAAAAAAAATAATGAATTACGAACAAAAATGTAGATTTTAGCTCTAATTCTAATTTGAGCTGCTAACTAATCATATAGGACCCTTTACCTTTAAGGTGTCAGTGAACCACTAGATTAGAAGATGATGGTTTTCCCTCTACCCACCTAATTCTCAAATGTCACAGGAATCACAGGAGAAAGTGGAAAAGCTATCATAAAAAGAATGAAAAGTATCATGGTTGTGCCATGAGCTATTCATCTCAATGTCAGCAAACTGAGGAAAATCCATGTGTGTTTCTCCCAGGCATTCTTCCACTTGTGTTAGTGACCAGCTCCTTGGACACCATTTATAATGGGTAGTTTTCTGGGTTTTCCACTGTTCATTATAATTACATCATACTTTTATATGAAAAGTAAAGCAATTCTGCCAGGTGTGCTGACACAGGCCTTTGGTTCCACTTCCTGAGAGGCAGAGACAGAGGCAGATCTCTGTGAGTTCAAGGTACATACAGGGAGATCTAGGCCAGCCATGGTTGCAGAGTAAGACCCTGTCTCAAAAAAAAAAAAAAAAGCAAAAAAGCAAAAAAAAAGAAAAAAGAAAAAGGGAAAATGATTCCAGTCTTTGCAATAATTATGAAGTCAAATTTTCTGTAATTAGAAAAGCCAACTAATAACAGGGAGACATCCCTTCCCCGAGAGAAGCAAGTTTATATGGGTACAGAGAAGTCAAGCCTTTACTAGCCAAACTATCCTTGTGAGAACTAGCCACTTAATCCTTTCTAGAAAACTGACTGACTCCTTCCATCACATGCCACCTCTTGAATAAAGGACAGGCACATTCCTAAGGCAAAGAGGAACAGAAAAGACTAAGGTGCCCTTCCAGTTTCTTCTTCCACTGGTAGTGCCTCTACCATATCTTCCCCAATCAGGAGCCACAAAGACAGTAATAATCAACATGTCTGACCTGATACTGCTATCTGTGCTCCACCTACCCACAGCATCCCCCAGCGTCACCACTTCTCAAATACACAAAAGGAAAGATGAGTGCAGATGTTCCAATCAAGACCGAGTGCCAAGAGTCACAAAACCTTAACTGGAAGGAATCTCCTAGAGCCACTAATTCTTAACTTAAAAGATATTAATTATATCTAATCAACAGCAAATCAGTTATGCTTTTCTCTTCATAGGGAAAAACAAAACAAAAACAAACAAACAAACAAACAAAAACACCACTGTTCACAAACTCCAGATTCTATTTTACCACTTTCAAGGAGTCTTGTGACAAATGAACTAAATTCTTGGGGAAGTTTGTTCCATCATATAACAACAAATTAAAGGCAATATAATAGAATAAAATTCTCTGTGAAGTGTGAGCCACAGTACAGTGGATTACTGTCTCTAGGTACTTACACAGTATACTTCTACAGTCAGGGTTATTAACTTTCCAGTAATTCAGTAAGCTGCCCCCAGCACAATAGACAGCCCATGGGTTTCATGCAGGAACTTCAGGTAATTCATGGACTCCCCTAAAATCACATCCACAAAGTATGAGTGCACATGACCTATTAACAGATGTCTTTAGTTTCAACAAGGGTTAGTAATTCCCCAAAGCCTATGAACATTATACAGGCCTGCTAAGGATAACACTTCTATGCTACCTTCCCTATGGACATGGATCAGAATCATTATTTTGATTTTTTAAAAAACAATTATTTCAGCTGGGCATAGTAGTGCATGCCTTAATCCCAGTACTCAGAAGGCAGAGGCAGGTGTTTCTCCGTGAGTTTGAGGCCAGTCTGATCTACAGAATGAGTTCCAAGACAGTCAGAGCTACATAGTAAGACCCTATCTTCTAAAAAAATAATAATAATAATTTGTGAAGGGAAGAGGATGTGTTTGTGTCACCGTGCAAGGATGAGGGTCGGAGGACAACAACTTTGGAGAGTAGATGACTTTTCTACCAAGGTGGGGTTTATGATCAAGCTCAGGTCACCAGGCTTGGCACCAAGCACCTTTACCCAGGGAGTCATCTCGCCAATTATTTTAACTTTAGCCTGCTTACCAAATTTTAGCCTACTTTGCTGTCCTTCTACTTGTTCAGACCCTTGCTATCTATAATGATGGAAATCCTGGGGTAATTTTTGAATTTCCAGATTCTTCCTACCTCAATTCATACTACACAATGCTGCTAGATCAGTTCTTCTAAACAAAGGTGTAAAATTGTTTCTTAAGCTCAACAATCACCTGTGGGCCCCACACTGCCTAGTAACCAGAAATTCATCTGGATTTAACAATAACTCAACAGTGGTGGCACATCCTTTAATTCCAAGGCTGGGAAGGCAGAGGGAGGTAGACCTCTGAGTTCAAGGCTAGCCTGATCCACACAGCAAGCAAGTTAAGGGCCAGTCACACCTATACAGCAAGATATGTTTCAAAACAAAACTAAAGAAAGAAAAACAAAAAGAAAAATTACTTTGTTACAGTTCTTGGTTTTTATTTCAGGTTTTCTTACCCTATATTCTTTTTTTTTTTTAGGTTTTTTTCGAGACAGGGTTTCTCTGTGTAGTCCTGGCTGTCCTGGAACTCACTCTGTAGACCAGGCTGGCCTCTAACTCAGAAATCCGCCTGCCTCTGCCTCCTAAGTGCTGGGATTACCCTATATTCTAAGAACAAATCCTGCAAACTCCATCCAAATCCTCTTAGATCTTTCTAGTGAACTACCTTTCCCTGTTGACTTCTAATCATCCTTCAACCCAGCATCCTTAAGACAAGATGCCCCTTAACTCACCTGAGAACTACCCTCTCGGAACTCGATTTGAGAGAATGTTTATGAAACATACACACATACACACAAAGGTATTATGGGCATGGTGGCATACGCCTATGATCGCAGAGACAGGAAGATGGCAAGTCAAGGCCAGGCTGGGCTACATAGTGAGATCCAGACATTTATTCACATGAACATAAAAGGAGCATCTTGTATATAATCCAATACACACACATACCTCCTTCATAGTCTGCAAAGACAGAAGCTGCTAACCATTTTATCTACATATACCCACAAATACCTCACACTGCCATGCAGCTGATGCTTAATAATTGTGCAAGGACATAACAGAAATTTCAGCCAACTTAAGAGATTACCATCTCTTTGAAGGCAAGAGATTTGATCAGCCATGTCCTGGGTTTCAAAAGCACAGTGTCTTAAAAGCAGCTATGTACTTGAAGAACTATGTGGAAATGTTAATCTGTATCTCAAAGAGCTAAGGCACAGTTTCCAAGCATCTCAATTTCAACAGCTCCAACACTTGGCCATTTAAAATGTTAACTATTTATTTTTAAAAAATGGTAATTTTCAGTCAGTTTAAGTATATATTTTTATAGCTCAAGGAAGTCAGATAAATGAATGTCTTTTTTAAAAGGAGAGTTTTACTAACAGTTACATACAGACTTGGTGAGATATGTCAAGTGGATTTATATACAAGCAAAAACTCTTGCAGAAACCTACAGACAACTGTGAACCGGGTATTTCATCAGGAAAAAAAAAAAAAAACAAAAAAACACCAAATGGGGAATGGGAAGATAACTCTGGCATTATTTTTTTTTCTGTTACTGTAAGTGGCGGCATTTTAAGAGTAAGAATTCAATTTTATGCACACAAAAAGATAAAATTTAACAGAAAAATACCAGACATTTGTGAATTATTTTATGGTGGAAGAGTAAAATATTTCAAAAGCATTACAGACACCTTCTTTTTTGTGGAATCGCTTAGAGCAAAGGAACTTCAACTCCAAACCGATGAGTAAAGGAGAGAGAGCCATCCAGCCCTAAGCCACAAAACTGATCATTTAAAGACTGTAAAGGCGATGGGCAAAGTACCAATCCTAACAATACAAAATTTTAAAAGAAGATTTAAAGGAAAAGGGCCCAAATCACGAGATGAGGATTAGAAGATTTTGCAAGGTCACTTGAACCTACCAGGTCACCAAAGGTGGAGATTGAGACTGTTGGTGAGAGGAGGTGCGGAGTCAGTGAAAAATGCTGAATGCTAGAAACAGATCAGAAAAGGACGTTCGTACCGAGGCTGGAGTCCCGGCTCGCGCCGGTGGGATCCGGGTGAAAGTCAGGGTAGCAGTTCTGGGGCAGGGAAGCTGGAACGCTAGCAAGCCGCCGGCCAGGAGGCTGAGCACTGCAGTCACCGAGACACTTCGCCGGGCTCCGGTGTCACCCACACAGGCCGGTGCCAGGGCCAGCTCGGGGTAAGCCCGGCGACCCCACCCCAGCGAACTCCGGCCCGGCCGCCCTCCAGAGCCCCGCTGTGCTTACCCGCGCGAAGCTGCGGCTCCCGGGGCCCGCGGCCACCGCGGCGGCGCCTCCTCAGCCCTCCGTGCCCAAGATCGCCATCTCGCAGCAGGCGTCGGCCGGGCAGCCCAGGCCGCCCGCAGCCACTCGGATCCCGCACGCCAAGCGCGCCGACACCCGGCCCTCCCCCCACCCACCCCGGCCTACACCTCCCTTCCTCAGGAGCGCGCAGCGTACTCGCGACGCCGGTGCCGCGCACAGGCGCGCCTCTCCGCTGCGGCCGCTCCGAGCCTCCGGTCCAGACCGGGAATCCAGCTGCCTTGGAGCATGCGCAGCGAGCGCGCGCCCAGCCCGCCTCGGGGAGACTCCGTTCCTCCGGGTCTTCGCGACGGTCCGGCGCAGAGGCATGCCAACCAATAGAAGGGAAGGGGCGGAGCCAGAGCCGGAAAGGGGCGGGGCAGCCTCCGGGAAGCCAGTGGTGACTTTTGAACAACAGTTACCTGGTCTGTTCAGTCAGCTGCAGAACTTCCTGCATAACCTCAGGGAAGAACGTCCAAGCACTTCGGTGCTTTACTCCAGCACCTCGCAACAAAAGTAGGCAAGGAAGGAAAACCCGTTGACCTCGCTTTAATATTTGATTTAGGGTCCATTAGTAATGGTGGTCACACGAGACCATTATGTTTGGTGGTCAAATTGTTCCCTTCTCTTGGCACCACAGTGGCCCAGTAACAAAGGTACTACTGATTGAGCAAATACATATATCCCTTTTCGTACAGTTAATGGGCACAGTAATTCTGAAAGGTAGCGTCTCTTGATTCCATGACACAATGAGTCATCTGGTTTAGAAAACAACTGTTGGTAATTTACATTGCGAGAAAGGTCACACACAATGCGATGACCACATTATTCACCATATGGCCCGCTGTTGTACTTGAAAGAACAAAGTTCTTCCAGCATAAATAGTACAGTTAGCCAAACACCTCACCTAGGCCCCACAAATTAATTAAACCCACCCCAAAGCTGACTAGTTTTCTTGTCAGAAAAGTTCAGAAATCCCGGCTTCTCTTCAAGGATGACCTCTCCACTGTTGCCTGTGACACCTTTAACTTCACTGCCCCATGGGTAACAAGTTCTCAGTGTAGTCACCTTGTAACACTTCTGTTCTAAATTTCTTGCTAACCTTAAACCACCTTTCTCATCCACTCTGTTGTTGTTGTTGTTGTTGTTGTTAATAACTTTTGAAAAAATAGTATACCAAGAAGAATACCAAGACTCCACGAGCATTTGTGGGACTCAGTAAATCCCACTTGAATGAACAAATGTACATTCTCTCCCACTCTGGTACATTAGTTACTAGCCTCTAACTTTACATATAAGTTAGGGGCATATGCACATGATGCACAAAAATCTCTCGAAAATGTACATGACAATGTTACTTGTCTTCAATCTCTTCCTCTTGTTGTGATAAATTACTGGACCAAAACAACTTAAGGGAAATGGAGTTTATGCTGCCTCAATTCTAGTGACAGGAGCTTGAAGCAGCTGCTCACAATAAACCAGAAGTCAGGAAGTAGAAAGAGAGTCGTGTGCATCACACTTTTGTTGCATATAGTCCAGGATCTTCTGCCCATGGAATGGCCCTGCCCACAATTAAAATTTGTCTTCCCACCTCAGTTACCATAATCAAGATAATCTTCTGCAGGCAATGTCAACAGGCTATCTCCCAGGCAACTCTAGATTCTGTCAAGTTTCCAGCGGACACCAATCATCTTGTCACTCTTCTGCTTAAGGTCATTGGCTCCATAGGTTTTATGACAATGTACTTTTCAGAGCACCTTCAAGCTCATGTGTTGTTTGTAGTACCAGGAGATCACTGACTGTGCCCATGTGTTTGTGTGTTTACACTGTGTTGCCTTTACATGTCCTGGATCTTTTTTTCCCTGAAAGATCTCTTTAAATAAATGCACTAGGTGCTTCAAAATGTCCTTTCTCCGGAGCTTGTACAGATTTCTCCTTCTGTCTTCTCTGTCTCACTCAGTCTCTCCTCTAGACATTCCTCAAGGCCCTAAAAGAAGTTCCCAGGTTCTCCTATCCCCTGAGTTGATGCCTAACATCAAATATTGTTATTGTTGAATATTTTCTTAGTTTCTAGTGAACACTGGTCTTTGTATCTTTTCATCAATCATTTTCCATGTTCCTGTTTACTGTCTCATGTTCAATCTGCCAAAGTAATCACAGAGTGTGAATTAAGTTTAGCCCTTTTGAAATACATTGGCAAGTTGCCTTGCAGAGAGCATGTGGGTTTAGGAGACACATTGCTGGGATCAAAACACAGCTCGGCCACTGCAGATACTTTCTCACTTTAATGACCTTAGAAACTACCTGTGGGGCCTCTCCTTTCATTTCAAAATCAAGCAAAACCCACTGTAAACTGTATCTTATGATTGCATTGATCCTTGAAAAAAAGTGTGTTGGCATTATATTTTAAAATATTTTATTTGACATTTACATTTTTTTTCGCTTCAATCTTCATTGGAATTCAGCTGGTTTTGCAAGCTCGGGAAGTATTGTGAGCTAGAAAAGCATTACACATCTGTTGCCTAATACATGAGCTAGCCCAGGTGCCAGCAAAACCTGATCAGATTATACCTAACCTAGAAAATTGTTATAGTGATAACTACATGATAGAGTAAAAAATAAGTGATTTGCTACAGGTACAATACTTACATCCATCTAACACATAGTCAACAAACTACTGCTGCTGTGATACTACCAAGCTCTGAACATCACTGCTTGAGATTACTGTGCCCGGATGATCATGGTATATTCCATGTGAGCAAATATGTGCTTATCATTGATCCATCATCATCTACCTTCTTACAGAACTATTCTCTGGTTCTTTGTATAATACAAATATTGATGCAGGTGAAACATTTGTCTTTGCCAATTTTGTTTCTTTTTGACTTTGTGCATTCATTTCGTCCTAAGAGCATATAATTTGTCTGTTTTCTAGTTGCTTAATAATTTTCCTTTTCACTAAACAATCAGGTAGCATTTGGTTTAGAATAGCTCATGGTACTCTCCATTCTATTTGCCTAAAGACTTTTCTCTGTCAATAGTAGTCTTAAAAACTGTGTTCACAAATTTGTAGATACTTCTTTCCTCACAAACCAGAGCCTAAATCACTTCCAAGAGGGCCCAGAGTTAAGAACTTGGTTCCAACATCTGTAACAAAGCTGAATTGTCACTTCTGACATCGGCTCATAAAAAGACATTGTAAATCCATGACTCCATCCCCTCATATCATTAATAGCTGCCAAGTCACAAGAACATGCTTAAGCATCCTATGAAGGACCACGTTGTCAGAAACTATGGCATCTTGCATGAGACCAGGAAGGACCCAAGGCCTCCTACCAATTACCACTTGAGTGACGAAAAGTAGTGGATCTCCAAGACTTCAGAGAATGTCTTGACCATGGCCTTACAGAGATATAAAACCAAAACCATTCAATTAAGTCTTTCACATGCCTGACCCAGAGAACAATGAATTTATGGAATGCTTTTGTTATCGTTCAAAGCCACTAAAGGGACATAAGTTGATATCCAGAACAAGTTCCCCAATCCAATGGTTCTCAATCTGGTATAATTTTGCATTGCATAGGAATTAAGTGATGTCTTAAAGTTGCCCCCCCTCAGAGTGTGTATGTGTGGTGTGTGTGTGTGTGTGTGTGTGTGTGTGTTGATCCTTTTATAGGAAGGTGGTTTTGACTACCATCTAGAGAGTGGTGTTAAACAGCTTCCATCCCCCCACAAGAACCAACCAAAATTGTCCAGCACTGTGCTGAAGTAACTGCACCAATCTGTCTACTTTTCCCTGTATCTTAGAAGTTTCCTCTTCCCTGTGTGCTGTTAAGTAAGGACAGCTTTGCTTCACATCCATTACGTTACTGACTTGAGTGTTCCTCTGCTAGTCTTTCCTAGTTTTCTCACGCTCTACTGCTAGTGAAAGCCTGAACTCTACTTGGCAGTGCCACACAAAACAACCTGGTACTTCCTTCAGGACACCTTGCAAGGCAGAGAAATTAAGATGACAGCAGACTTCTTGTGTCTGAACAACTTTCTTCTACTTATTGTTAGGTAAAGCACAAGGGTATCAAGAATTTTAGACTTAAGTGTTGTTAAGAACCAGGCAGGGTGGTGCATACCTTTAATCCCAGCACTTGGGAGGCAGGAGCAGGTAGATCTCTGTGACTTCAAGGAAGGCTTGGTCAAGGTAATGAGTTCTAGGACAGCCAGTGCTACACCATGAGACAATGAGACTCTGATTTAAATAAGTAAATAAGTAAATAAATAAATAAGAGTTAGAAATAAACGGAAGCAACTGTAGCTTGCAAAACTGCATCTTATTCGTATTCACTGTATCAGGGTTCTTCAGAGAATCAGAAGTAGGAGAGAGAGAGAGAGAGAGAGAGAGAGAGAGAGAGAGAGAGAGAGAGAGAGAGATTTAAAAATTGACTCATACAATAACAGCAGCAGGAGAAAAACACCTTGTTGAATGAGAAAGAATCAGAAAGAAGTGTACACTTGTCGACTTTTCTATCCTGTTGGCCTCTACCCAAGGATGATATTCTCTCACATTCAAACTGAGCCTTCCCCACTATACTTGAAACATCCTCATAGACAAACTCAAAAGAAATGATCATCCTGAATTCCTCTTCCTCTGTTTCCTCTCCTTCCTTCTTACTCTTTTTCATATCTTCCTTTTGCTTCCTTAGATTTTTGGGGTTTCATGGAAACAGAATTTTATGTAACCTAGATTAACCTTGAACTAACTATGTAGCTGAGGCTGGCCTTAAAACTCTCATCCTCCTGTTTCTATCGCCTGAATGGCAGGATTATAGGTGAGACAGCTGTATCCTGGTGGCTGAGATACAGTTAGCTCTCTGCTATGGTCAAAGTACAAGTTGGTTATATAAGTGTGAGAACAAAGAGATCTTAGTTTAATTAGCCATCAGCAAGGCACCTGCACAGTGGACCAGGGGAATGCCAGCCACAGCTAACAGCCAGCAAATAGTCTCAAGGTCAGCTGCTATGTGAGTCAGTGTTCTCTGGAGTAGCAGAACTAATGGAATGAATCATCTAACCATCTAACCATCTAACCAT